AGCAAACACTAATTTCCTCTCCTCTAATATTTTATTATTGATAAAATAAATTAGAGCTAAACTTTACGGATATAAATTTAATTTATATTAAATATTTAGTTAACTATTATTTTATAAGTAATATTTTTAAAAACAAATTATCAAGGATATAATTGAATGTTTTTTAGAATGTATAATTAGATTGCAAGATTGATTGAGTCCTTCGAAACTTTACTAAAAAAAAGTATTTGAAGCAATGTCTTTAGTAAAGTTTTCGAAGGATTTAGGAAATAACATGAATAACATCATTACCTTAATAATGCTTTGTTAATCAGAAACACATAGTTTTGTCATTGTTCTCTTGAACGATTTTAATATTTTTTAAAATAATTTAAATCATTATTGAGTCATATAAAATTAATTAATCGATTAATCTATAATGTATATTAATGGTAATTAAAAGAAAATTGTTCGAAACCCATATTAAAAATTTATTAATTCTTGCATATGAAATTTGATAATTTTCCTTTCAACCCTATATAGTCACCTTTTTTATGTTCACACTTTTTCTTATTCACATTTTGTAATGTTTTTTTTGGTGATTGACTGACATCATCTTTACTATTTTACAATTCAATCATTTACTAAATCACATGCTTAATGTGATCGTCAAGATTTATGCTCGTGTTTCGGGATTACGATATCGAGATTTAGGGTGTCGGTCTTAAGGTTGTCGAAATTTATGGATCCTGTAATTAAAAAGTTATCCACTTGGGTATCTTTGCTTCTAAAATTGATGAATTTTAATAAAAACTTTTTTATGTATTACAAGTTTTCTATGTAAACAGATTTCAGTTAAATGCTGTAGCTAATCATAATCCGGTTTTTCAGTATTCCAAAACAAATTTCCATACTTAATACCGCCAAAGAGCACAATGCTATTTAAATTTTCGCTGATATAAAACAATATTTAAATTTATAATTTCATGATAATTTTAACCGAAAAAATACCTAATTTGGAAACAAAAAAAGTTAGCTGAGATCTTCACTTTCCATTAATATATATATATATTTTTGTGATTCATTACAAATATGAGCAAACAACAATATTTGTACAAAACTGTCTTACATTAATTGTCAAACTTATTTATTACTTAATAAAGGATATGTCACAACTAAATGTTAAGAAAGCAGTACAATATCCATACCTAGCGACGACCAAGTAACTATAATTATGTTGATCAGTAAATAAATATGCATGTTATCATTTACAAATTTGCGAAAATAAAATTTTGTAACGCTTACTCCTAGACCAAAAAAAAATGTCGGACATTAAAGAATCGATTGACTGGTTTGAAGAACACTTCAAGAATGTACAGCCAATAGGAAATGGTTCGTTTGGAAACGTAATGCGTGCAAATTGGAAAAGTAATGATCGCCTTTTCGCTTTGAAATTTTTTAAAAATGATAAAATTACAATTAGAGAAGTTATAAATGAGGTATCGTAATTATTTAAA